TAAGTGCCACGGCGCTTATAACTTTTTTGAGGCTTCAGTGCGCGGCGCTTATAAAGTACATTGGCCTGGCGCTTTCTATGCCCGTTCTCATGTTACCTATCTTACGTATATCTCGTAGGCCTATCATAGGTCCTACGTCATCGTAAATAAACGTTTAAAGAAATGCTTGTCTTCGTTGTGTTATTCATTTTAACACTAATTGTATTTAAAACATTGTTTGTCAAAGTGTTTCATAACAATACACATAACACTTTTTTTTAGCCCAAGTTAAACTTGCCATTTGATCATCCACCTGCTCCGGAATTCATTTTTTTAAAAACTTATAATAGTAACTATTGTATATTAATTTTATCTGAATATTTTTGTACTGCTTATAATATTTTTGAATGTTTCTTTGTGATTTTATCGCTGTGATTTTGTATTGTATTTACTATATGCTCCCTATTATTGGCATTTTCGCTGTTGAGGGTGAAATGAAATAAAATAAATAAACTTGCCATTTGATCATTCACCTGCTCTGGAATTCAATTTTTTAAACTTTCTTATAATGTTCCTTGTATATAATAGTAACTATTGTATATTAATTTTATCTGAATATTTTTGTACTGCTTATAATATTTTTGAATGTTTCTTTGTGATTTATCGCTGTGATTTTGTATTGTATTTACTATATGCTCCCTATTATTGGCATTTTCGCTGTTGAGGGTGAAATGAAATAAAATAAATAAACTTGCCATTTGATCATTCACCTGCTCTGGAATTCAATTTTTTAAACTTTCTTATAATGTTCGTTTTACATAATAGTAACTACATTGTAAATTAATTTTATCTGAATATTTTTGAACTACTTATAATATGTTTGAATGTTTCTTTGTGATTTTATCGCTGTGATTTTATATTGTATTTACTATATGCTCCCTGTTATTGGCATTTTCGGTGTCACGGGGGTGAAATGAAATAAAATACTGTAAATAAAGTTAATATACTCTTAAATTCGAGAGCGGCGCTTAGTGAAAAAAATAACGTTTGGTGCGGCGCTTATTCAAGCATTACGGTACTGTAAAGAGAGCTTTAGGAGGTTTTTCATAATTGTTTTTTATGTCAATGGTATCTATATACAGTAGATCAATTTAGGTCAGAGGTGATTATCTCTTCCTGGTACATTAATTTCCTGATCGGATTTGTGAATAATTGATAGTGCTAACAACTGAGCAAATTGCGGAGGAATCGACCAACTCAAAAAAAAAAAGAAAAAAAAAAGGCAGCATTACAAAGAGAACATTATTCCTCAGTGACTGTTGACCCCGCGTTTGTACACGTGTTACTTTACCTCGTCTATCTACCAATGTTATCAATCGCAGTAATCAAATGAATAACAAGATAAAAAAAACCCCAAGTGAAATCAATTACTATATAAAGCTAATTAAAATCCAGTGATGTACGGTATTTATTGATAAACTATCAAAGTTTAAAAAACAAATTTACATATCGACACCTAACGATTATATCAATATAAATATGCTTTGCATTATTATAGGCTTGGTTATTATTATTATTATAAATATTATTATGTATAAATATATACATTGGAAAATAAATTAGGCTGATTCAGTTGTTTCATACATTGTACACTGCTATTTAATTGAGAAATATTTGGGGAAAAAAACATGTTTATGTATGAATGTTGATAGTAAAGCACTGTCACGTTTTATTGACAAATACCCGTAAACTTTCCATATACGGGTGGAAAAAACTACATATTGACACAAAGAATGATTGTCTGGACAAAAAATTATACTTAATTATAATTAATTACTGGTATATTCATATTCATGTTTATATACATATTCATTCACATAATGAATTCACATAATTCATAATTCATTATTATGAATCATTATATTATTATTATTATTATTAAAGTCAATATTCATATTGATATATTTATTGTCATAAGACAAACTATATAAAAAAAAATCATTTACAAACACAGAATAGGAACATTAAAACAAACACCTTATAATACAATATACAATATTAAAACTATATTCATATTATATACTGTACCTGTATTTTATTGTACATATTATTAAGACCAATAATACATATTATTAATAACAATAATAATAATATTCATTCACATAATTATTATTATGATTATCATTACATTATTATTAATATCAATATTCATATTCAGATTGATATATTTATTGTCATATGACAAACTATATAAAAATACATTTACAAACACAGAATAGGAACATTAAAACAAACAACACTTTATAATAATGCATACAACAATATTAAAACTATATTTATATTATATACCTGCATTTCATTTTACATTTTTTTTATATTATTACTGTAATACTAACATTAATATTATTAAAATATATATATAGTATTATTAATATTACTATTAATAATAACAACATTAACAATAATTATAATAATAATAATATCATTATTATTATTATTATTATTATTATTATAAATGTAATTGGATGGGATTTATCTAAACCAAACATCATCTGCATCACTTAGTTGTTTACCAAAAACTTTCTTTTCAAAATCACACAGCTGCTTAACAAACGTCCTATTTGGATTGATAATTGGACGACATATTTTGAGGTAGTCTCGTGCTTCTTTCAAAGGCCATCCTAGATATTTCATCATAAAAGACAGTGTAACGGTTGAACTTCGGCTCACACCTTGAACACAATGAACCATAACCCGCCCACCATGCCTTATAGCATCTGCAATAAAATCTGCAGCTTGAGAAAGACGTGGCCTAAGATTGGATGACAGCTCATCTTCCACGGCTATACGCAATTTAAAAAAATTTAATTAAACAGGAAACTGCAGTGGCTCAATTGCAGTGCTGAAACCTGTGACAGTTGATGTAGAGATAGTAGTTTGTGGTAGAGAGTTCCAGAGAGCAATATGGTTTTGGGAAAAATCTTGACTGAAACGTCTGGGTCCTAGCAGGTTGTCTGAAACTTGAATTAAGGCTTCTTTTAATGGAAAGAGCAAAATAAGCATTCTTACTATCGCCATCATCACTATCAACACTGTATTACAGTAAAATTAATATATATTCATCTTTATAATTAACATCATTCTGTCAGCTGATCATCTTGATGGAACTTCATAGTTCATCTAAGCAAATTACTTCTGTATATTGCTTCTATACAAAGTTCAGCCAAGCAGGCCTTACTGATAGGTCTACAGGGTAGCCTACTACTGTATATCTAACTTGTATTCAATTCATATACATTTTCTTAGTTTTTTTTTTAAAAGAATTTGGCGAATGTCAAGATAAAGCTAAGTTGGAAGGATCACAATCTGAAAAGATGTTAAAAGTTAAAAGTATATAAAGTAAGTACTATAGGCCCTTATTTTCAAGGGGTAATCTATCTTATATATTACAAAACACCTACAATTTTGTTGTTTTGTCACTTGAATGCTTGCAGCAACAGGAAGATGTTACAATGACACCCTGCTTGCATGAAGTGTTTACTCCCATTGTGTCTATTATTTAGTAGTAAGAGCTGATATTGTACCAAAGGTGCACAAAATGGCAGTTGAGCCTAAAAAATAAGTATTCATTAGACATGAGAGTGCTGTGGGTGAATAATTGTGTTACATGACACAGACCTCAGTGGCAGTGCCAGCAGGGGGTCACAGGAGGAAATTCCAGGCATGGACCACCATCGACCTACGTACGCCACAGCAAGGTCTTCGGATATAACAAAGTCACTGTGATTGCCAATGCCTTGGTCTAAAAAGCATTTTGGGACTTCTAAACAATAAAATCTATCCCCATGAGCCCAACAAGTACTTTTATTCCAAAATCCTGACCGAGATTCTTGGCAGCCCCATGGCTCAGACCCCGGTCCTGTCGGATTTGAACATTGTGGGAAAATTTTTGGATCTAGCTATAAATACATAAATAAAGAGGGCAAATGGGCCAACCAATGTTTCAGAATGATACTGTAAGCCCCAAAACAACACTACATTATTTATAAGATATGACATTGGCTATCTAGCCTAGTATAGTAAAACTCTACTGAAAGAAAAAATGGAGGGAGAAAATGGTAGAATATCATTTTATAAGATCCAACACATTTAATTAACTCTATGATATGCAATCGTATATCCCAAGGCAACTTTAAAAAACGAATGTAAAAAAAAAAACAGGCCTGGCTATGCTTAATTAATACTCACTCAGTTTACGCGTAGGGCCTACACTCTAGTCCAGCCTATTAGCCTGTTTAAGCTGTTTGGCCTAGCTAGGGCCTAGGCCTAGCCTACACAGATTCAGTCAGCCTAGCCTATTTTTTGATAATCCGGCAAAGAAAGGAGGTAGGCCTAGCCCAGGCTAGGCTTATGCAACGTCGAAGTCATCACATTATAATAGCATAATTGACATGACTGTGTTTAAGAAACTAGGTCGCTTTCCTTGTTTCGTCTGTGTTTGATTATGCTTAGTCGCTAAGGTAACCAACTTCTTTTTAACTCAACAACCAAACCTCAACTGTGTAAACAAACGTAAATTATTACTATGGGCCGCCTTTGGTGCCTTCGATTACACGAATTTTCACGTGTATAATGTTTTTAATGAAAAACAAATTGCGCTTTTTGATATTTTGTTAAAACTTGTATTGTTTATATAGATTATTTCAGCTTCTGAATATTGCAAGGCTCAGTTTAATGCACAGCGTATAACATAATTGAATCTACTGGCGCAGTCGATTGTTTTTGGTTTGTATAAAGTTACTTAGCAACTGTTACGCTTGATTGAATAACAGTGCCTGGGTCAGCAAAATAGGGTACTACCACTGATCAGCAATTTACATAGGTCTGTGGTCCGATCCTAGCAGAAAGGTAGTAAATCTCATTGCATTCGACATTTGTAATTAGATTTTTGTACTTGTTTTAGTTTGGCATCGTGCTAAACATGATTCACCAGCCTGCTGTTAAACAAAGATATGTCAATAAAATAGTAGGCTTATAAATATAGGCCAGGGCCTAGGCCTAATTCTTCCCCAGCTCAGCTGAACGATGGGTGCTCATCACAGCAGCAACTTAACTTTGAGCGCCGCTCCAAATACTGCTGGTCTTGGAGAGGTATATCAAAATGATCTGTCAAAGCCGAATCACGTCTTTTCAATTAAAACGTGTACTCAATTTATTTTTTTATTTGAAGTGGAATTTTGATTATATTTTTTTTCTATTTTCACGATGGAAGATGGAGGCTGAGCAACCGCAGAATTGTCTTAAAAAATAAAAATATGTATAATTACAATATATAGGCCTAAATAATTTAATTAATCTAAGCAAATAAATATTGTCATCACTCACTTGTTACAATGTATCACAATTATTACTATCATTGTAAATAATATCAACATTATTATTAATATAGTCATATTTAAGGTTACATTTTTAAAAAATCATTGTAAGGGCCTATAGTAGGTACCTTGGGGGTATATACATTAAAATTTCAATTTATGATAACAAAAATACTAATAATTGTAATTTGTCTTTACTTTACTTGGCTGATTCATAATTTCTAAATGTTTCTTATAGGCTACACAGTATTTTATTGTTGATATTTTATCACTAACAACTGCGTTATTTGTAAGAAACATTTTTGATGTAGTAATTTGTATTTGCCATTTTGATTGATTTTTTTTTATTGTACTTACTTGCTTTTATCTTTGTAAAAATGGGTTTTAATGTACAGCACTTTGATCTTTTTAGTAAAGGCGCTATATGAATGCTTCTTAATAATAATATTAATAATACATACATACAAAAGAGGCAGTATAGAAACCAAAAAAGTAATCATTATCATTATAATTTATTATGTAGTTAATTCTAATGGTTTAGTTTTCATAGAAATAATGTTAAATGAGTTTGTATTACTTTTTCATAGGTACTGAAGGCAATGAATGGTACAGTAGTACTTTATAATAAAAATGGCAGATGAAAAGAAAGTTGAGGAGCCATTCGCTGAAAGAAAGAATGGCAGAGACAACATAGACACAAATAAAGAAAAAGTATCTGAAAGATACAAAGAAGTTGCATTCAGTGAAGAAATAGAAGTGCACAAAGTTATTCAAGCAGATGACGCTGACAATGAGACAATTTTAAACCAGTCAAATTTCCCAAATAATGAATCTGGTAAAGGTGTAGATGACAATTTAAAGCAATGTGACACAGAAGATGCCATTGGTCAAATGTTTGGTAATGGTGACAAATGTACAAAGGATGACCAAGTAGATGGTTTGCGAAAAGTTGACGATGGCAATCTGGGTATAAAGGATGACCAAGATGTGCAACATGTTCGTAATGGTGACCAAGGTGCAGTAGATGACCAAATAGATGTGAAAGATGCAAGTAAAGATAACATAGGTTTAAAGCATGATAACATAAATGGAAAAACTGTTGGTAATAGTGGCGACGGTACAAAATATAACCAATTAGATGTGCAAAGTACTGGTAAAGATGGCCAACTTACAAAGGATGACCAAGAAGAAAATATATGTATTGATAACCAAGGTACAATTGCTTACCAAGTTAATGGGAAAAAGGCTGGTAATGGTTACCAAAGTACAAAGGGTGTTGAAGCATATAGGCACAATGCTGGAAATTGTGACCAAGTTGCAGAACTAGTTTTAAGAAAAACAAGCCAGGAGGAGCAAGATGACTTAAATTACACCGGAATTAAAAAGACAAATCTAAACAGAAATAAAGAACAAACAATGAATGTTACTGAAAAGAAAGAAGTTCTAGGCCTAGGTACAGAATGTATATTTATTAATAGTATCAAAATAGTTAATGGCATTGAACAACCTTCAGACAATACAATATTATCAGAGGAGCACATTGAAGAAAACATAAAAAGAGAGGTAATAACTCCAAGACAAAGAATTCTTAATGCTACTGATGATAATGACAGTGGTCATGGCCATGCAGATGGAATGGTAGATTTAGAATCTGATGAACATGCTGAATTTGTCCATGATGGTGATGATGATGGTGATATTGAAGAGTTACAGAAACTGATAGAAGAACATCATCTCACAAAATGTGACAGTAAGGCAGAACTATCAAATACAGGTAACTTGTACATATCTTTTAAAATACGGGGTTGTGTAGCTGAGACCATGTTTTTCTAATCTACTTAGTAAAGAAATTGTGTTATTAGCCAAGCAAAGAGGCTTGTCTACTGTGTCCCACTCTCTTTCTGACCTGACTGAGGAGAGGATACATAATTAAAAATAACATGAGCAAGGGATTTAGTTAGAAATTGCTAATTTTAACCCTCAACAATGGGATTGAGGTCATGACTCCTTCATCTGTAACTGACTCAGTAAATTGAAATCCTGTATTTCAACACTTATAATGTCGGTGACTATTATTAAAGGACTATATTATTTTTTTTTGTCTTGTTAAAAAAACCAATTCCTATGACTATGCGTTACTTTCAGGTAATAGGATGTTGTTGATTCAGGAGGACCAGTCAGAGAAACCTTACTATGACAAGGTGCCACCAATATCTGCCAGCAAGAGGCCAGGTCAACGACTGGCACCAAATAGAGCTCTTATTGCCCAGATTCCAACATCATCTGTAAAATGGAACTTGAGTGATGGGAGAATATCTACACAGCAGTCTGGAAGACTCCCACCAAATGTCATTAAAATGTCTACTGTTATGTTATCAGCAAAGTAAGTGCTTAATATTACTACATAATATGCTGTTCAAGTTCTTAACCATGATGTTGTGGGTTCAAACCCCATGCTCGGGGGCAAATTTACAGGCATCTCCCCCCCCCCCCTTCCTTTTGGATTCCCCCTTTTGGAAAGTCAAAAAAAAAAAAGAAAGAAAGAAGAAATTTATCGCCCAAAGGCCTCAGAGGTTGTTTTCAAGCGTCTAGAACACAGAAATTTTGCGGGGGCATGCCCCCGGACTCCTAGGGTATTGTTTTCTCGATTGGCCCCACTTTCTTCCCCCTTCCGGCCCCTTTTGGATATGTCTGGATCTGCCCCTGATGCTGTCTAATTCTTGTGTGTCCTTGAGCATAGAACTCTATTGCCAACAAGGTGGCAGATCATGGGGGTTCAAAACGGCACTCATCCCCAGCAGTAGTAAAAAAATCCCAGGCCTCCACTGGCACCACCCCTACCTTGACCCCACAATAAGGACGAGAACATCACAGCCCTCCCTAGGCCATATATTTTTGATTGAAACTTTCTAATCCTTCCCTGCAGAAACAGTCTGGATTCATCTCTAAAAAATGAGTACCTTGTAAATTATTGTAATTATGTGCAGCGTAGAAAATTGTTTTTGAATCCAGTAATTTGTGTTTTAACATTCATAATTATCTTTTGAGGTTCTCTAACAATGTTATGAAAAATTAATTTACTCAGCTTTTCTTGTAAAACTAGCATTGTAATATTTGTATTTGTTCATATATTTTTGTGATTAGATATTTGTTGTTGTAATTATTTCTTCAGGAAGAGACGTACTGCAGTAGTTCGGAGTGTGAGCCAATACTATGAAGACAAAAAACATGCTAAACTTCTGAGTAAGTATTTTCTCAGGCATAACCACATTTAATCCATTTTCTGTTATTTTTTCTTCTGAGATTCATAGAAAATGCATGTAGTATGTCCGTGTGAGCAATGAACCATCAGGAAAATGATTGAGTCCCTTGTAAAATATACTTCCATTCAGCTACTGTTCTTGTGAACTTAAGCCACAATCGCACTGGACTTTTTTTGGTAAAACTAACCAACACGTTGGCTAGTTTTACCATAATTAGTCCAGTGCGAACAGCACAGGAAGTTTACCTGACAGGAAACTTACCCAAGCCGCG